ACTGCCCGGAGGCCCGAAAAAGGGATCGCCTGCTTCCACAAGGATCTTATCCACATGGGTAGTGAAGGCTATCCAGTGCGCTTATAAAGCAGCGGGTCTTCCCCCTCCGCAAGAGATTAGGGCGCATTCTACAAGGTCACTGGCTACGTCTTGGGCAGCCTACGCTAAAGTTCCAGTGGAGGTCGTCTGCAGAGCAGCTAGTTGGTCGTCCTCAAATACCTTCATTAGACACTACAATGTAGATGTGTCTACCTCTGCGGGTGCGGCCTTTGGCGCATCCGTACTCTCTTCTGCGGGATCTGGGGCTAATTAAATTGATTTTGGCATGTGTTTTTTGTTGCTAGCTATGTCCCATTAGTATGCCAACATGAGGTGAGCCAGGAAAACGGAAAATTGTTATCACATACTTACCGTAATTTTCCTTTCCTGGCTCTCCTCATGTTGGCATAGCTACCCTCCCATGCCTTCGCTCGACGTGCTATGGAACACGTGTGTGGTGGGAAGGGGGGGCTTTATTCTCTTGTTAGGGGTGGTCCTATTGGGAGCCGGGGGCGGGGTTAACCCATTAGTATGCCGACAGGAGGAGAGCCAGGAAAGGAAAATTACGGTAAGTATGTGATAACAATTTTCCGTTATTTCACCAGAGAGCCTAGAAGAGAATAGGAGGGGAGACACAGGAAAAAGGAGAAAGTCACCCTCAGTTCTCTGACTTAAGCAGAATATTAATACAATAAATTATATAGTGCTTAAAAATGTAATATCATGTTAAATTCAACCCAAACAATTCAATACTAGTTATTTGCGCTTACCAGAGATACCATTAACTTAGAATAGATAAAATAGACTGGGATAATTCCTGTTTAGTGAAACTGTGGCAATCATAATCTCCGAAGGCTGGGTTTACACCTAGGAGTATCGAATATGTGCGTTTGTCGCACGTTTTTACAGCGATTCACTGTAAAAAAACGCGCGACAAGAACGCGTTTCCGAGGGCTACCTGGCTGTATCCCAATCGATACACGCGGCAAATATGCCCCAAAGAAGCTCCTGTACTTCTTTGGGCATAGGGCGTTTTGCAGCGCATTCCTACGCGCTGTAAAGCGCCCAGGTGGGAACCATGCCCATAGGCAATCATTGGTTTTCACATGTTGAGCGTTTTACAGAACGTAGGAACGCGCTGTAAAACGCCCAGGTGTGAACCAGGCCTTTATCTAAAGGGGGAGAGCCTTCTTATGGTGTTTGTGATATAAGACTTTTTGGTCAGGTTTTTAGCAAAGATATGTAAATCCTTGATGACTTCAAATTTGTACATATCTCCGAATGACAAAACTTCCCTCTCTTCTTTTGACAATGTATATATAAGAAGACAAATGTATAGATTTTTAATTCATTTCTTCTTGTGTTTTGCAAGGGACAAAGTGCTCCATACTCCCTCCTACTCTTCTGATTACTGTTACAGTGCTGCCTAAAAAAGGGACTTGAGACTGGCCCCAGAAATGTGTCATCTATTTATGTAGAGTTGAGGGGTATTTTGGCTATTTGGGGCTGACTGAACCTTGGGAGACACAAGTGACAATCTGACATGAGAGCTTGGGTAACAATCGAGTTATGCTACCAATGAAATTCTTATACTTTGTGCTCTAACCTATCATACACCTTGGGATTGTACCATCATTACTTTATTTAGATAATGTGTTATTTTGTAGGTTTAGGCTTGCGGTTTCTGTGGATCTTAATTTAAGAGGGGGCAGTGGAATTCTTAACTGATGAACTGTTTGTGGTAGGTGCAAGCAGGTGGCGGGCATACAATTGCATTACAGATTCAATGATAACAAACATCTGTGTGAATAAATGAGCTCATAACACAAACCTGAGAATATTCAGTTAACACAAAAATATATATATATACATTTACATACATTATACATACATTGTATTGCTACCTCTAAGTGTTCCCCATCAAGCAGCACATCTTCCTTTTCTATCAAGCATCTGATGCCATAGATGGAAAAATCTCTGTTCATAGTCCATCATTTACAATGTTTGGGAAAGGATGACACTTATTATGCTTTTCACAGACAACAATGTCTGCCGTCTCAGGAAGTGTGGTAAACATATCTAAGCATATTATGTAACAACAGTTAATGTACTTGAAATAAATATTTTTAAAGAAATACAGTACATAACTGCTGGTACCATACCCTCATACATACATCCTTAGATCTGTGTCACCCTAGCAGTGACAGCTAGCTCCGCCCAACTGTTTCCTATTGGTTGGCACCTGCTAGAGTCTTCTAGCAGGTCCTGGGCCAATGAATAACAACTGGGTGGAGCTGGCCGTGATGTAACAGCCGGCTCCGCCCAGTTGTTATTATTTAATGACAGATCAGCATCCCCAGGTCATTTGGGGACACTGATCTGTCATTACAACTGAGCGGAGCCAGCTGGGAGATCACGGCTGGCTCCGTCCAGCTGTCATTTGCGTGGCAAGCGGCCGGCCTTTGGCAAGCCGTTTGCCCTGCTTCGGCTCAGCTGAGCTGCCTGGCCACCTTCGGCGGCTCGTAGCCCGTACAGCAGCCCTTCAGTACAACTGAACCCATGGCCTCTGGCAGCCGGAGGATCAGCCGAAGCTACGGATGGATCCCTCGGCTCTTTAGTGAATAACCCCCTAAGACTTTGGCCTATTCTCTGACTACTCTTCCGCCTGTTGATTTTGTACCTCACTGCCCGTTTGTTAGACCTTGGCCTGTTTCTCTACTACTCTCCTGGATCCTGATTTTGTACTTCACTGCCTGTTTGTTGCTGACTCTGCTTGCCTGACACTGCCTAGCCTTATCCTTAGCCTCACTCCATTTTGGACTCTACCATCCACAGGTACCTTACAGTAGATAGGGATATTGGTACTGAGCTGGAGCTCATCACGCTAATCCTTATATGGATTTAAACATTCAGTAAATGCTATCTTCATAGCACTTAAATGGCGAGGATGTCCCTTCAAATTTGTATTTTTTAAAGATCTTTTTTTTTTTTCATTTATATGCTATTTTACACTACAATTAACTTTTGTGTTTATATTATATTTGTTACACTTAGAATACACTAATAAATGCCCATATTTAATACATCCTTAAAACACTGTGTTCTCTGCAAAGAATATTTGATCCCACTGAGTATCATGCAGTAAGGAGCGCAGCTTGTTGAAGTTAGCCTTTTTGAAATTTAGTGTTCTTGCTATACCAGCATAAAACTCTTTCCTGATTTTCTCATTGAGGCATACACCATATGACCCATAAAACAGCTTCCTTCTCTGTTCCACCATTCACCCAACCACATCAGCCCTTCCACCTCCACAGAATATAGCATACACCAGCCCTCTCTCAGCAGAAAGCACAGCATACACCAGCCCTCTCGCGACAGAAAGGCGTCTTCTCACAGCAGATACCAGCCTTTTCACAGAAGATACCTGCCCTATCACATATCAGACACCAGCCCGCTCGCTCCAGATGCCGGCTCTCTTACAGCAGATACCAGCTTTCTTACAGCTGCTCCCTAGAAGAACCTCACTACCTCTTTTGCCCTCTCCTAGAAGACACCAGCTCTGACAGAGCACACCGCTGATAACAGACAGCAGCCCACTCTGTCATACCTCAGCACCAGCCTCTCCCAGCAGACACCAGCTCTAATGTATTTGACAGCAGTCCACTCCCAGTTTACACCAATGTTCCCACAGTAGATTATTTTCCTTAATGCAAGCCTCTTGCAAAAACACAGCCTCTCTAACATCACTTCCCACAACCTTCCCTCCTCTGCCAACGTCGTGGCTCCAGACGATCCCCAGCACAGACACAGATCCTTGCAATATCCTCTCTCTCACCACAAATAAACAGTCTGGCACCCTGACAGCCCCCACCGCACCCCAGATGGCAGCAAACAGTCCCAGTACAACACAAGCAGACAGATAGGCAGCCTGAACTGCAGTCCCCTCCTGGCCTTGTCACTGCAGTAGTAGCCCAGCAATGTCCTCTCCTCCGGCAGCCCACACTGTGGTCTCCCGTTAGTGTTCTCTCCTTTCCTGCACCTCCAATTTTCCTGTGACTAGTGGGAAACTTCCACCTCTGTAAGTGTTGCAGAGCCACTGACTATTCATCCTGAAGGCTGCAGTCTCTGGAATACTACTGATCCGGTGTCCCTGAATAATAAAGACACGATATTCTTCTCTTAACAATGCACTAGAATTGCACATTTTTTCAATAACTATAGATTAAGTGGGTCACAATAAGACAGATCTTCGATCTAAATATACTGTAAAACATCTCTCGGCAGTAGACATTTTTAGTATTTGTGAACGAAACATTGATTAAAACCACACACTTTGTTCTCAGTGGTTGTTTTAGCAATATGTGAATTTAAAACAGGCATGCATAATATATACTTTTTTACAATGTCTTATTTGCAAACATTTTTTTTGTTATAAGGCTTGTACTGGATACTTCTTATGTGTCATATTTTCTAACTAATTTCTATTTTGTCCCCTTTACAGTAGAAAACGTCCTAAATTTTATTGATATCTGGCTCTTGATGGAAATAAATTGTCCACCAAGCTGAAAGATTTGACCACTGCTACAAGCTCACTTTGTTTAGAACTAAACGCAGAATATACTGGTATACAATTAGTGTGTGTGTAAAGCACCATACTTTTTCAGTTTTATAAATGTCTTTTGTTTCTAAGCATTTAATTCACTCACTATCAGTGGTATCCTTTCTGATCTAATTAATACCTTAACCAAAGAAGCAAAATATATGGAAATTGTTTCACAGCTGCCCCTAAAAGTGTGTCTGTGGTAAAGAAACAAAAAATGTGTCAGAAGGGCCATGTAGCTATGCCACATTAAAGTTTATACAATCAATATATCATTAAGCAACATTTTTAATAAGACTGTGAAAGCAACAATTGTACAATAAAAAAAGTAGCTGTCCCTAAAGTACTTTCTCTGTTCTAGATCTGAAGAATCTAGTAACTTTGGAATTGGAAGGCAATCAACTGAGTGAAGCAAATGTCAGTCCTCTAGCTTTGAAGCCACTGCAACATGTCACTTATATGCGTCTTGGTAGAAACAAGTTCCGAACTATTCCACAAGGACTCCCATCATCTGTTAAGGTAAACAACTCGACAAGTACATCACCTCTACTATTATTGGAGTCTTTATGGGGTATGGTTGATTATGAGCAACATTTCATGGTCTCAAGCCAACTATGTACCCCCTGTAACCAAATTTTGTATGCTGTTTTTATACCAACATAACTATGGTTCCAAGCACTTAAAACATTGATTACAGTGTATATGTGCTGCATAAAACCAAAGATATAATTCCCTAAAGTGGACCTTTACCCCCTTTGGCTAAAAGTCACCTCAGCATGCAGCTCTGCATGCTGATGTGAAATGATCTTACATTCATTAGTTTAACAAACATATTTTCATTTTACTTACAATTTCTTGTTTTTTACTTACTGGTCCTCTTTGGCACAAATGATGTAATCATGCCCAAGCATTGCATAGTGGTAGTGCATTGCTGTGAAATCTTATCTGTAATTTCATGAGATCTTAGGGAAAGGCATTTTCCTCCCCTGAAATGATGTGCATGGTCACATGTCCTAGTTAGAGGTTCCAGAAACTAAAGGGAGATGGATTCTTCTGACCTTAGTAAAAATGGCCACTGTGAGAAGAATGGGAAACCAAGACATTGTTATACAGAAAGTGTATGCACTAAGTGACAGAGTGTCAGACAGCATGCTCACCACAACAGAGCCTTATATTCAGGTAATGGAAGCGGGTGGCAGCAACAATTAATCAGCCCAGTGATTCCCACCTTTGCACAGCAGTTCAATAATTTTATCTTGGTGCTCCAGACAGCTTCCAATGATGTCATCCTGGCCATGCATGTGCAGCTGCATCCACTTTTTGTGGCACCAATTTAAGTAAGGTCACCCAGTAACAGGAAGCAAAAAGAGTATCAAAGATATTTGATGACATCACCGCCGGGATGCACATGCAAATTTGAGATTTGCAGTTGCGGCATCAACCTTGGTGAAAGAGTTCCAGCACACAGTGTGAAAGAGCTTGCCCACAGAAGAGAACAAAATAAAATAAAATAGCAATAATCTAAAACACAGGCGTGCCTTCCATGCACTTACCAGAAAGGAAAAACACTGCCTAAGCACAAACGCTTCTTTACCACTTGCATTTACAAAAATGCCCCTTCCCCTCAAACCACCAGAATGGTGTTCCCTTCATCTAGCTCACTTAAAAGCTATACAGAAGAGACCTCCACCCAGTAGAGTCTAAATCTGGCTGGGACAAAACAAGCTGTAAGGGAACACTAGGCCACTCCTTTTTATGAGAACAAAAGAAGAGAGAATGTTGTGTGTGTCCCCATGCTTATTTTCAGGTGTCCTAAATAAACATGTGTTGACATGGAAACAAATGAATAAACCTCTGCTGACAAGGCAAACTTTATTAATTTTTGTTTTCTTGAACAGGAAGGTTTAGGCACACAAACAAAGAATGCATAAAGATCCACATATTTTACAGCAGAAAATCAGCCAGGTTTAAATAGAATGAATTAAAGCGTATGTAAACCAAAATAATGCAATGCTCCTATTTGCTCCTTTCTGGTTTGTGGAAGTAGTATTATGCACTCAAACTTTTTTTTTCAATAATTAATCCAAATCAAACAAATATACATTGCCCAGCATTTCTTTACATTTTTACCCAAGCACTTACAGTCATCATGTTGCATTGTACTTTTTCATAGAAACAGTACAATGGGTGAATGTCGTCACCCTAGGATAGGTATGTGTGTAACTGGCAGGATCAACAGGTGAAATAAAAGGGGGGAAAATGCCCGAGAAAGTAACACTACTATCACATCTAAGGACTGGTAAGCTGCAATATATACATTTGTGTTGTTGGGTTTAAATATAGTTTAAGCATAAATATTCTGGCAAGTCCCTGGCATGTGCTGACTCTGCAAAGATAAGTCAAAAGTATATATCAGAAGCTATTGGAAGCTGATAAAACATGTACATATCGGGGTTAACTAAATTGTTGGGATCTTGCTGACTATAAACTTGCTTGTCTATATAAATCCCTTATGACAGTCCTGCTGTAGTACTTCTGTGATAAACTATTTCAGAACAGTGTACTTTTATTATATCTGGAAAACTCTAGAATTGTGTTTACAAGGTTCCAACAGAAATATTTAGGCTGACTAGTTTATAATGTAAGATTTCTCTAACTAAGGAGAATTATGCTATTTAGATCACCAAAAGCCATGACTTCTGCTTATTTTTACAATATTATTCTGCTGATTTTTCCACTTAGGAACTCTATCTTGAAAATAATGAGATTGAAGAGATTTTGGAAGAATCCTTGAAGCACACGGTGAATCTAAATCTGGTTGTGCTAAGGCATAACAAACTGGAAGAAACAAAAATAGCTGCATTAACGTGGATTCTTCATGAGTAAGTAAAATAGAAAGACTTAATAGGTTTAAAGTGATTATCAGCAGTTTGCGTCCAGCAGGACATTATTAGTAGCACATTTCAAATATGGTTAGCAGTAGAGTTGCTATTTTTCTTTTTTTTTTGTTTGACTACATTTTTATTGAAAGATAAAGATAGGTACAGTGATTAGACACACTCACAATGCTAATAAAAGATACAAGAGAAATATCAGTTAATACAAGTGCGTGGTATATAAGATTTAAATCGCGAATCCTCGCCTCAAGAGAGTCAGTTATTACACAAAGCATCAAATAAAGCACACTGCCATGTCTATAGTAACAGTTGAACCAAATGATATGCCTTACAAAGCTTCTACAAGTATTTCTGCTGAGATAATAATAGAAGCTAGGAAGAGAAAGAAAGAAGGAATCTATACCTACAGGGTGAAGGGATGTAAAGGAACAACTGGGAAATTAAACAGTGTAGTCTCAATCTATTCAGAGGATACAATCCAGAAAATTTCCATGGTATATCTGAGTCTCAGGGTCTCTAATTACGTTGAAAGATTATGAGTTTAAAAACAGATGTTCAGGAGTATGGAAACCACATCCAAAACTTTTTTATTTGGAATGTCCAAAAGACGAAAGCAATATTAGTAACAATAGCTAATAGTCTTACTGACTCAACAGAAGGACTATGCATAGTACGTGTGGGGTTAGTAAGTTTGCACAGTACTTGTGTGAAAACCAGCATTCCCAATTTTTCAAAAATGTGTGAAATTTGCTTTAGCAAAGAGGTATTCAAGATGGGCATGGGTATCAAGAATATCCACAACTGATTGTAGTGAGAGAGTTACTGTTTGTTTCCAAAGCCTTGCTAATGCTAGTCTGGCTGCAATAAAGACATGGGACACAAATGTGTGAAATTCAGGAGGCCACTTCTCAATACCCACTCGATACACGTCAAGGCTTGATTTGGAGGGATCAATGTTACTGATGTTATGAGTAGGGATGAGCCGAACACCCCCCTGTTCGGTTCGTATTCGAATGGCCGACATGTTCGAATACGAACTCGAACTCAATGCAAGTGTATGGGGGTTGAATGTTCGACCCCCATACAGTTGCCGGTACATATAATAAATACTGTGTACTGCCCCCCTTACCTCTGCTGCTGTCCCGGCCTCCAGTCCCCTGGAGGCCGCTGCTCCTCTTCCCCGCCCCCCTGCCTCCACTTCGTCTGCAGGCTGGGAGCCATACCCAGCCTGCTATTGGATATTGTAAAATGCAATAGCTAATAGCAAGCTGGCTATTGCACCCGCCTGCTGTCAATCAGCATGGGGGGACCTGATAGAGAACTTTCTCCTTCAGGCCCCTCCTCCGCTGAGCCATGATTGGGCAAAGTCTTGCACCTGACCTGTGGTCAGGTGCAAGACTTTAACAAATCAGAGCTTCAGTCGGCATTTCGTATTATGGAATGTACGCGGCCGAACAGACCGCGAACATCCCATAAAGTTCGGCGCTCGAACTGCCGATGTTCGATTCAAACTCATGTTCACAAACTCATGTCCAATAAAGCCGAGACGTTGATGGAAAGATCTTTGCTAGTCTTTGTGTGGTGTAGTACCGCTAGTGAAGAAGTTTATTTCTTCCCTTTCTAATTGAACACATGCTTTATTAACATGCATATTTAAATACAGTACATGTAGGGCATAGAGTGAGTCTAATTTCCACCCTGCTTAACCACAGAACCTATAGTATATATTTTATGTGTGTTCAATTTCATAGAGGTAGGGTAGCAACCATACATACTAGTCATATCTTGTTTTACTTAAGAATACGTTAATTTAATCTTTAACAGTTTATCGATAACCTAAATAGGTCACTCTAAACTTTCCCTTACCCATTTGGGCTGACTGAGAGAAATCAGTAGATTCCCCCATCAACACTAAACAGCATGCATGGAGTTATATGCCCTGCTGCCTATTTTATGCAGACGGTGACTGCATCTTGTCGGCCTGACATTTTTTTTCATTTCGGTTTCGTTTCAGTTTTGAAATTTTCATTTCAGTGCACCTCTATAAAGGTTGCATTGATCCATTTTACTAACCAAAAAGCTGCTTAAAATTTCCCTAAAAATGCCATAGGCATAGGCGTCGTTGGCCCCTGGGACGTGTGACTACCAATGAAAGGTGGCACTTACACCACACCCCTACACTCTGCAAGCTGTGGTGTACAAATAGTTCTAACCCCTGCACTCTGACTGCTGCACTGTATGCACTATATTGTGCATTACATATTCCGCACTGCTGCATTGTGTAAGCTACATAGTCTTGACTGCTGCACTCTATATACTATGTTATACTTTACATTGTCTTGCCCTCTACACTCATTTGTTATATGTTGTATGTTGCACTATGAAATGGGCAAATAGTCCCCAATGTTTCAATTAGATTCTGTATTAAAGAAGGATGAGAACAAGAAAGTATTAGTTCTCTGCCTATATTATGTGTTCAGAAAAGCATATGTAATGGAAGAGTTTTTTTTTTTTTTTTTAAATATTCCCTTGCTATGAGGTAATTGGGGTTCTGTGAGATTGTGAGCACAGTAATGAAACCATATTTTGGAGGTAAAAGGACTTTGACATATGTGTGCAGTGTATACAGCAAGGAGGTTCAGACTCTCCTTAACCATTCTCCCCCAAAACACTCCCACTGTTAGGCCTCGTTCACACCAGACACAGTGCGTTCCGGCCTGATTTTGGCCAGAATTCACTGCATCATATTGCTGTTAGCTCACTATGTTGTGGGGCAGGAGGGGGCGTGGTGGTCCATTGAAGTGAATGGCACCGTAGCCATGACCTCCGGCTGCAATGCGATCGGCCGTACGGGAACACATTATGCGTGCAGTCCAGGCCAAACAAAGTGCTGCAAGCACTATTTTACTGCAGGCATAATGTAATGCAGTGCATTCTATCCAGAATCGGGCCTGAACACACTGTTTCTAGTGTGACTGAGGCCTTAGTCACAATTTGGTCACACTCACATTATTCCTTCATGTAGCTCCTTACTCTAAAGCTCCCTAAAACCCAAACACCGACCTTCCCTTAAGTAAACATAACCCCTTGTTTGCACAATCTCCTTTCCTGGTGTAACGTACCTCGGCTCCGCGCCGCGTCTCGTTTGCGTTCCACCGTGGAACGCATCAGACGGGGAAGGTTTCCTCCCCCATTAGGGAAAGTACTATGCGTTCCACGCTAGGACGCGGAAGTGCGCTGCGGCCGCGTGACGTCACGGCCGCGGCCTATTTAAACTTGCTGTGAACGCTGTAGGGTGTTCACTATTGGGTTCTCATGCCCAAACAACCCCAGGAACCTTGTTCCCAGGAAAACTACCTCCACGGCCGACCAAAGGACTATCCTAGGACCTTGCAGACCACTGCACCTAAAGCGCAAGTACTCTTCAAATCTCTCTGAGCCCATTATATGGGACTTGAAAGGTTCTCCCCTATTGTACTGTGAAATGTGCATTTACTTTATATGGACTGCCTATCCTATTGTGCTGTGAGATCTGCATCCGCTATATCAAGACTGCCTACCATATAGGACTGTGATATATACGAACTGCCTAAAATATAGCCGGAATTCCTCTCAGAGTTACGTCTTGCTAAGTGGAACTATTTACAAGTTGTACATTTACTACCCACTAGTCCATTGTGGGGTTATTCCCGAATAACCCTTACACATGCATTTCTTATTGTTTTGTTGAACGGCGAATGATGCAAGAACCCCAAACTCTCCGTCAGTGATTGAGAGTGATGCCTGGGGTTCATTGACTGAGTGCCGTTCATTTCCCACACCGCTAAACCTCAAATCCGCAGTTGTGATCCTGACCAAGTTACAGAAAGCCCAGCAGGTGTGACACCTGGGCTGGTATCCTCTGCACTAAGGACCAACCTTCTTGCATGAAAGATACCTGCACCAAAATATCCTATTTCACCCCAAGAGCCCTAAAACCTTGAGTTCTCTATTATGCAAATACTAATTTGTAGCAATGCTGAGAATTGCCCCTCCACCTCCCACACAGTTCTATTTGACCATGGGTGGCCTCACTGGCAATTGGGAAAGTATGGTAAGGCGGGTCCTTAATGTTGTAATTTGTATATTAGAGCACTATTAGGGTTTCACGGCTCCTGAGATTCTTGTAAAACTATTTGAAGGTACAGAAACTTCTTGGTGACTGCATTATAGCCACACATTACAAACTGGTTTGTATAATTCTTTTTGCATGCTTACAACGTTATTAACTGTTCTTTTCATTATCGGTATAACATTTTTATGTTATACATATATATTTAATACAGCATGCTCCCATATTAAAGAATAATGGGCTTTTAAATATGTAAGCTAAGCAGTACTAGCTCTAACTGAGAATCCATATGAAGCATTATGAGTTATAGACGGAGACACAGCATAAATTGCATTAGCAGATGTGTAAAGAACTGCCTCAAGTGCACTGTCAGTTTGCAAGAAAGAGTAGATATAAAATATTTCTGGAATATTGCATACATTTATCTTACTGTACAGAACCAAAATACTTTCACTAAATGAACAAAATAAATGAAATGTATACATAAAACTACACATTCCCTTTAAAACTAAACACCGGCAAATATGAAAATATTGCCCCCTTTTTGAATATTGGGACTACCGTATCCCTCCGCCAATCACTGGGGATCCTACCAGTCATTAAGGAGTCCTTAAAAATGAGGATTAATGGTCTAGTTATAACCTGGCTTAATTCCTTAAGTACCTTGGGGTGCAGGTTATCCGGACCATAAATCGCTCAGTGTGAATGGGGCCTGAGATAAGTGGGGTGTGTCATTCAGAGAGGTAAACTTAAAGCATATTTCCACTTTTTCAGCCAAATTTGAGAAACCACCACTAAATGTTTGTGTTTCCATTAACACAGCTCCAGTCAAGCATCTAAATACATAGATGAAATACAAAATTATAGGAGCTGTTTTACCTGCACAGGGTTTGCATTTTTAGCAATCCAGTCCATAGATTTAGACAGCTCCAACACATTCAACACTTTCTCTACTACAATTTAAAGCAAAGGTAAAGTGGGTTTAAAAAAAAAATGCTGCACAAGTTTTTTAAATAGTATATATTGTGTCCAGCATATAAGCTCCTTGGAAAAGATCCCCTCCAGTGTTGTGCTGTCCACTCTCCCCTCCGTTACCTGCACTGCCATCTTCTCCTGGTCTTTTTCTGGGTTCTGCATCTCCAGCCCTTTGATTAGCCAGCCAGCATGATGTAACTCTTGCGTATAGTATATGCATGGGAGTTACTTTATCTTGGCATGGCAGCTCTCTACATTAGAGAAGACAAAAAATACAGAAGCGCACTACCAAGTAGTGACTGAGCAAGAAAAAATAATAAGGGAATAATGGAATGAGACTTACCAGGGTGTGGGTACTAGCGCGTTGTCAGCGGCGAAGTGTGGATGAATTGGGAGTCCAGGGTTGCTGATGGTGGTGGGCAGGGTAATGTGGAAATAGTTGGTGCTGGGGAGAATACGATGTCAAAGGGGATCTGGGTCAGACGTTTAGTGTGGCTGGGATCTGAGGGGGGGGGCGCTCGGGTTTGGGAGAAAAACTAGCAGTCTAAAACGTGCTGGCTGCTAGTGGATGTGTGCCTGAGAACTGTGTGTGTGTGGGGGGGCCGCGGTGAACAGTTGATGCTGTCAGGCAGGGAATGTCCGGGGGAAGCCAATGGTGAGGAAGATGTTGAGGTCGGGTTGAGACTACACCGCTCGAGGGCACAAGCGGTGTGTCTGTGAGGTACAACGGGTGGGAACGAGTGGCGGAGGTGGTGGGTGAAAGTGTTCAAACTGGCTACGCGTTTCGAAGAGCAGGTCTTCTTTTTCAAGCCACAGAGGCAGCGCTGTATTAGAGGCCATTTCTCCCAATTTTTTAGCTCTCTACATTAAACTGCACATGGTATGGTGGGCCTGTACACTGTACACTGCACATGCACAGCTCAGTGCACAGAAAAAAAATTGCTGACAAGCAGGTAGGATTTTTTTCTGGCAGAAGCAACTAACAGTCTCTTATACTATATAAAAAAAACTGCCTGACATTTGTAAAAAAAAAAAAGAACACTTTACTGCTTTAGTGCTTTAAAAATACACTGATGACACCTCAACCCCCAGCCAATTAATTGGGCAGTGAAGGGGCACATGCAGAAATGCTGGCAGGAGCAGGGATAACATAATCAGTATGTCATCCCTGCTCCTGTCTGCATGCAGCTCACCTGATTGGTCCTTGTACAAGGTATTGCAAGAGACTGACCAAAGTCTACAAAATTTAAAACATTGAGTAAATGTGAGTAATTGAATGTTTGATATTGTAATTAGTCATTCTGTGTTTTTCTTAGGAACCTAGAATCACTAGATTTATCTTACAACAAGTTTTATCAAGTGCCATCATATCTGCCAAAGTCTTTACTGCACCTCGTACTTGTCGGAAATCAGATTGAAAGGATTCCAGGTTATGTGTTTGCACACTTGAATCCGGGGTTGGAATATCTCTACCTTTCATACAACAAACTTAGCAACGATGGAATTGACCCAATTTCATTTCATGGGGCATATCACTCATTAAGAGAAATATTTCTTGATCATAATGAATTGACAAGTGTACCAGTTGGAATGGAAGACATGAAAGACCTCCATATTCTCAGGCTCAACAACAATAAAATCAAGTAAGATTTATATTTCAATATATATTTATATAAATCATCAATAATAAATCCATTTACCTAGAATACTTTTTACTTGCATTCATTAACTCTTTCCCACACCCAACATAAATGAACGCACTCCTGTAAACTTCCCCAATGTTGGTAGGACATTAAAATCCTGCCACCTCAGCTGCAGCACTCTCTGGAGATCACTGTGATCTCCAGTGGTAATTTGCAAAGTGCAGTGGGGGGACTGAAAAATGTAAAGGGCTATTCACAAAGCTGCTGAAGGCAGCCGAGTGAATAACCAAGCCCAAGTTAACAGAGCCGAACGACGATCGGCTATTCACTCTGGCTCAGTACGGCTGAAATCAGCCGTACATCGGCTGCCTTCGGTCTGCCGAACATTTTCTCCATGTTCGGCTGAGCCGAAGTGTAGTGGGACTTCGAATCAGCCGCTCCAACATCTAGATCAGCTGAGCCAAAGCTCCGGCAGCTCACTCGCTGCCGTTCGCCCTTATTCTCATAGGAGCCGAATGGCAGTGAGTGAATAGCCGAATGTCACAGAGTGGCATTTAGCTTGGCTATTCTGCTCGGTACCTCCGAGGTACCAAGCAGAATAGAAAATCAGTTAAAAGAGTGAAAAAATAATAATTATGTCACGGCTGGCTCCGCCCAGTTATTATCCTTTAATGACAGATCAGCGTCCCCAGGTCATTTGGGGACGCTGATCTGTCATTACAACTGGACAGAGCGAACCGTGAGATCAGGGCTGGCCTCGCCCAGCTGTCATTTGCGGGGAGAATGGCCAGCCTTCGGCAGGCCGTTCACCCCGCTTCAGCTGTCACTTCGGCTCAGTTGAGCCACAGCATATGCCTTCGGCTTGGCTGAGCCGCTCAGCTGACTTTGGATGCTGTACGGGCTATAGTGAATAGCCTGTACAGCAGTCCTGCGGTTCGACTGAACGGAAGGGCTCCAGCGGCCGAAGAGAGCCAAAGCATCAGCCGAAGCTACAGCTGCATCCTTCGGCTCTTTAGTGAATAACCCCCTTAATCTTTAACCACTCTGAGTGGTTTACTGTCACCGTCATAGCCGTGTTAGCTGTGCTAAACAATACTGTAAATAACACCGGCCACTTTGACAGCAATTTTATAAAAGAAGAATAAGTCTCTTATAAGATCTTTCAGACATTGAATAATAAAATTTATTTTTAAAACAAGAGCTGTTCTCCAGCAGTAAGTCTACTGTGTGTGCAGCTCTTGAGTAACCAAAGAAATCGGATGTAGTAGGAAACTGCTATTGACTGTACCCACACAGCCACTGTGTGAGCAGCTAGAGGAAGATAAATGCAGGTGGGAACAAGCAATTAAATGCTTGTCATATAAAATGATGGTCTCTGTGACTTTGCAAATCAGTGTCGAAATATATCTTGTCCGAGATTGCAATGCTCATCCTGATTACATGGCCATATTCTGAGTGCCATAACAGGTCCTGGAGCAACAGAAGCATCTGGCTAACACAAAAACTACCTGATTGTGTCCAAACCTTAATATGATTGTGTTTACAGAGTTTTTTTTCTAAATGAGAAGATCATATATCTATGGCCACACATGATTTATGCTTGTGCACAGTTACCTTTTATATACTCAATTTCATTCAATGCAGGATCAGTGGCACAATGCTGACACAGCATATAGGGATCACTGGGCTTATCTGTTATGTGATCATGAGACCTTGATTTGCCTACTTTGATTACATAGTAAATTGTATCATATATGTTAATAGTTTAAAGCAGATCTAAACCCATCAGTAAAATCTCAGATAAAATGTGCCACTTTCTGCCAGCAATAGCTGGCCCTTCAAGGGGATCTTAATGCTGGAGGCTGGAAGGTAGGCTCTTTATCATGTGGCCATTGTGATAAGCTGGTACCGTGATGGCATCATCAGAAGGTGTTCCTACTGGCTCCCGATGGTTACCGGGACCGGGAGCTATCTGTAATAGTGCAGTCAAAATTCTGGGACTCCAAGTGAGAGCACTCCCAGCACAAAACAGTGGCACCAGCTGTATGCATATATGTGGCAGCATGGCCACATACAGTATCTCAAAGAAGTGAGTACACCCCTCACATTTTTGTAAATATTTTATTATATAATTTCATGTGATGACACAGAAGAAATTACACTTTGCTACAATGTAAAGTAGTGAGTGTACAGCTTGTATATCAGTGTACATTTGCTGTCCCCTCAAAATAACTCAATACACAGCTATTAATGTCTAAACCGCTGGCAACAAAAGTGAGTACACCCCTAAGTGAACATTTCCAAATTGGGCCCAATTATCCATTTTCCCCTCCCCGGTGTCATGTGACGCGTTAGTGTTACAAGGTCTCAGGTGTGAATGGGGAGCAAGTGTGTTACATTTGGTGTTATCGCTCTCACTCTCTCATACTGGTCACTGGAAGTTCAACATGGCACCTCATGGCAAAGAACTCTCTGAGGATCTGAAAAAAATAATTGTTGCCCTGAAAGAGGAGTGAAAGAGGACTCCAATGGCAACCTGTGAAGCTCTGGTGAACTCCATGCCAAAGAGGGCCACACAAAATATTGACACTTTGGGCCCAATTTGGACATTTTCACTTAGGGGTGTACTCACTTTTGTTGCCAGCGCTTTAGACATTAATGGCTGTGTGTTGAGTTATTTTGAGGGGACAGCAAATGTACACTGATATACAAGCTGTACACTCACTACTTTACATTGTAGCAAAGTGTAATTTCTTCTGTGTCGTCACATGAAATTATATAATAAAATATTTACAAAAATGTGAGGGGTGTACTCACTCACTCACAATGGTCCACCTTTCACTATCCTTATGCTAGCTCATTTAGACAGGAAGTGGCTAAAGAAGTCTGGAGGAGGTCAGCAGCAATGAGGTAGAGAAAAAAACCTGAAAACAGTATTTAATGAAAAAGGGTAAAATAAAAGAATATGGTATTTTCTTTACTATACACAGTGCTTTCTGCAGTCTTCAAATTACTAGCAATATTATTTTGATTGCTAGGTATGTCACATTAGACTCTATAAAATGTTCATGTCAGTGTACCAGAGTCCTAGTTTTCTCCATGTAGCACTTATTACTTTTATTAACACATGGAATGCATCCCCATATTGTACAAGTCAAATGTCGGGTATACAAGTGTCTATTTGTCTCATTTAACCTGTGGGCTGAACAAAAAAATTAGAACAGATTCTTCCGTCAACACTTACGAGCTCTGATGGACAAATTCCCCCCTGTTTGCATTGTATTCTGACAGCAGCTGCTGTCAGAATACCCAAACAGAGCTAGCAGCTGATTGGTTGTCAGCTTCATTCAGCCGAGAATTTTGTGACCTGCTCATATGATCAGCTGATGAAGGTACGCTGAGTGGAAGGGTGCTAACAGCAGCACCCACTTGACAAATCAGTCCTACAGTAAACGGACAGGACAAAACAAGGACACATGGAAAGCACTAATGTATGCACACTTTAAGAATGTTAATGTGATGAATGTTGCTTTGTGATATAAATCGATATATCAGATTCTTACAGCTTTTGTTAATCTATGCACAGGACAGTGTCACCAAACTGTATCTGCAATGCTGAAGATGACAGAGACTCAAACATAGAATACCTTCATCTGGAAAACAACGCTATTAATACCAGAGAGATTTCACCATACGCGTTTTCCTGCATCCGTTCCTACTCCAGTGTTATTCTCAAGCCACAAAAGGTTTAACAGAATAAACAAAACTCTCAAACTACTAAATTCCTTCATGACTTAAGACCAAAAAAACGTTCCATTTATTAATTAGGCTTACAGAAGGAACTGAGCAGCTAAAACATACAGCTGTCAAGATTCCAGAAATATAGATATTCTGCTTATGTAGCATTTCATGTGCGGCAATGATTGCATTCATACTGGAAAAATAGTTTCCAGAGTTTGGAAGTCTGATCTCACAAAAGTTTGAAATATATTATTTGTTTCCAGGACTACAGAGAGAAAGTCTAGTTTTCACATTCCAAACCTACTAAGTCTGGGTATATTCTAGACTTACTAGTCAGTGCAGGATCATAAAAAAATAAATGTTAGTACTACTGTATGCTACTTCCAACATTATTATATTAACATTATATTAGCTTATAATATATAAAATGCTTATAACACTGATTTCCATATATTTCTTGATTCTGGTAAGAGCACAAATACTACAGTAAAACCACAAAATTTGGACTTTTATTTTGTTGTATTTAGTTTTCCGTTTTTTTACAAGACTTTTATGTTAATGTTTGTAAGAGTTTTCCGTAAAAATGTCACATGTCCTCTTTAAGATTGTTTATTTTCTTCAGAATCAACTTGCATCACATCATCAAATTAATATTATAAATAGTTAAACAGTTCTAGACAGTTCACTCTACAAACACAAATACAGGCAAAATCCTCATCATTATAACACTCATCCCCCTCCCTCTTAAAAATTTAAGAACAAACAAACAACAACAATAAGATTTAATTAGTGTGTGTATACAATGCTGATTACTGATACCTGTTACTGATAAAAAAGTTTATTCAGGCCACCTGATACTTTGTACCTCAATTGGTTTATACAGTACCTATTCTTTTTATCATATGTTAATAGTTTAGATTTAATAAAGAGAAGCCGTTTTCAAATTACCAATAATATTATTCTAACTTGTCTCTAGAAAAATGGATCTTTATTGCTGGTGATGTGATCAAAACAGACACTCAAACAAAGGAAGTTCTAATTCACAATAAACAAGATTTTTTTTGTTAATATTTTTCTTTAGAGAGTATACTATAAGATGTGGCCTGTGATAAAATGGTATATTAAATTTAAAAACACTGTCCTAAATTAGACATGTGCGTTTTGTTGCATTCCGAATTGAATTTCGATACATCCAAATTTTATTCGGAACAAAGCAAAGAAGCAAGAGAGCTGTCATTTACCGCTCTCTGGCTACTCTGACTTGTATCCCGAATGAAAACAAGGTAACAATATTGTTAAAAACTAAAAAACAAAGAAAGAAGTGGGGAGATCTGTGTTATTCTATTACAGCTTCTGCTTCTTTCTGATAAAGAATCTGACAGCTGACGCAGAATACACTAAAGTGTTAAACAGTCCACAGAAATAATAATAATGAAAAAAACAGCATGCAGTTCCCCCATCAATTCATACCAGATCCTTTAGGTCTGGTAGGAATGTTTGGGGGACCCCCCAATGTAAAGAAAACCCCCCAAAAATAGCATACGGTTCGCCCGGCAATTCACACCAGACCCTAAAATCCCATACCAGACCCTTAATCTGGGCGGGGCAGGAAAGGGGGGGTGAGCACCCCCCTCCATCCACCATACAAGGCCACATGCCCTTGGCATTGAGAGGGTGCTTTTCCCGGGGTTGGGGTCCGTGGGCAGGGGGCTCATCTGCATCTGGGTCCCCCCTTTCATAGAGGGGAGACCCAGATGCTCCCCTTCTTGTGAATGAGTAAGGGCTAGTTGTACTTCTACTCATTCACTAAAAATTTAAAATGTAAATGAATACACAACACCTTATAAAAGTTTCCTTTAATTGAACAAAAAACACAACACAACAATTTTTGACAATTCCTTTATTTAAAAAAAAAAAAATGTCCCACGATGTCAATCCCCAGAGCTGTTCAGTTATCTGTTGGTTGTCGAATTGTGAAACCTTGTCATTTGAAACTATAGATATAGTCAGAGTAGTTGGCATTAGGTTGTATCTGCTGGAGCATAATAGAAAACACTTCCAACATTCCTTCAGCACACCCCTCAGACTCTTTAATTGGTTGTGTTATTGTTGTGTGACAGTATTTGCAGCCCTGTAGCTTTTGCTTACAGTCGAAACTTTGAAGAACCATTTACAAGAGCAGAAGACTCTTGGACGATTGGACTACCCTGAACTGAACCAAAGACCTGACGAACTTTGCTAAATTATTTTCACTTTTAATCCAGTATTTTCACTGTTTGTTTGTTTTGCAATATTATTTTTCGGTAAATATTTTCTTACGCTTTTTTCTTTTTTTCATTAAAATGATATTCAAAAATCGTAAAGCCGAATCTCTGAATGCACTAATTAAAAATATAGAGAACCGTTTGCCTTCTTGAAGAAGGCTACCATTTTGTAAACTCTTTTACATTCCTGCCTGGGTGTGGCAATGAGTGATGCAGACATTTCTTTTTAAAGTTCAGGATGGCAACTACAGATGCTGTGAACAGTGCGTGCTTCTGTTATATCAGGTGGGCTGTGCAGGGTCTTAGGTGGGGTGTAGGGGATCTTAGGTGGGTTGTGCGGTCTCTTAGGTGGGCTGTGCAGGGTCTCAGGTAGTCTGTGCTAGAAAACCTCTCTGCAGGGTGAAGCTGAGAATGCAGTCATCACAATCTGGTGGCAGTGGTACGGTAGTTCTGCTTAAAGTATTAGTGCATATGTTAGGTAAGTAACCCTGCAGTTAAGTGCAACTGAAACCTAAATCTTCTTTTAGTTTTGAATACAGTCAAGAGGGTTTAGATCATCTGTCAGGTTTTTATTGCTCTTTGTCCCTAGGATCTCCCTCTCTTTGGAGGGATTTCCTCTTACTTCCTGTTGTGGCTTTTGGACAGGAAGTGAAGGAAATCTCCCCAATGGAACACAGATGACAAACAAGCTGACGGGTTATAACTAGGGATGCACCGATACTGGGTTTTTGGTATCGAGTACCAATATTTATATTTCGGTACTTACCGATACTGAGTACCGATACCAGTACTTCTGGTACCATGGAGCCGGCTTCCCAGGCAATCAAGAAGCCTGGCAGTGGGTCTTTACCCGCGGCCTGGCTTCCTGATTAGTCGTGAAGCCGACTCCATGTTGTTTAGCTAGCTCCATGATGATTGCCTGGGGAGCTGGCTTTCCAGCTAATCAGCATCGAGTCAGCCAAACAGCATGGAGCTGGCTTCCTGGCAATCAGGAAGCTGGGCCGCAAGTCCTTACCCGCGGGCTGGCTTCCTGATTGGCCGGAAGGCCGGCTCCATATTTCTTCGCGGCACTGCTGGTCAGAGGAAATCTCCCTTTGCCTGGAAGTTTGGCTTCAGTTCTCATTTAAAGACTGTAACCTTGGTGGTTCCTTGAGATAAGCTGGTGCAAAATATATTTTTTTATATCTAGAGACTTACAACACTAGTTCCCTCCCTATGCTCTGTTTTTCTAACCTATTTATTTTTTTGCAATCATGCCTGGTCTAGCAGAGTGCAAGAAAAGAAGGCTAAGACAATCTGATGAATGTGTGCCAAGCAATGTACACCATATTACCAAAAGTATTGGGATGCCTGCCTTTACATGCACATGAACTTTAATGGCATCCAAGTCTTAGTCCCTAGGGTTCAATATTGAGTTGGCCCAACCTTTGCAGCTATAACAGCTTCAACTTTTCTGGGAAGGCTGTCCACAAGGTTTAGGAGTGTGTCTATGGGAATGTTTGACCATTCTTCCAGAAGCACATTTGTGAGGTCAGGTACTGATGTTGGACGAGAAGGCCTGGCTCGCAGTCTCCGCCCTAATGTACCCCAAAGGTGTTCTATCGGATTGAGGTCAGGACTCCGTGCAGGCCAGTCAAGTGCCTCCACCCCAAACAACTCGATCATCCATGTCTTTATGGACCTTGCTTTGTGCACTGGTGCACAGTCATGTTGGAACAGGAAGGGTCCATCCCCAAACTGTTCCCACAAAGTTGGGAGCATGAAATTGTTCAAAATGTCTTGGTATGCTGATGCCTTAAGAGTTCCCTTCACAGGAACTAAGGGGCCAAGCCCAACCCCTGGAAAACAACCCCACACCATAATCCCCCCTCCAACAAATTTTACTCTTGGCACAATGCAGTCAGGCAAGTACCGTTCTCCTGGCAAACACCAAACCCAGACACGTCCATCGGATTGCCAGACAGAGAAGTGTGATTCGTCACCCCAGAGAGAGGCTGCAGAACATCAGGCTGCGGCTAAGAGAGTGGAGTGTTGGACAAGATTCCTACACCTGTGCCGTTGAGTGCAGATGTGGATACTCAGATATCATAGTATGTACCTTCTGATCACACCCAGGATTCCCCAACTGGACCCTCTGGACATATCAAAGTACTTTGTAAATATGTGGTTGTGACATTGGGTAACTTGGGGATGGACAGAGGGAGGAAAGTGGGTGGGGATGCACAGTTGTCCTAGGGAGGGAGACAAGGATGGATTAGGCACCTCACATGCACAGTTACCCAGGCATAGAAAATGTAATTGTTGAATCTAATTGACAATTCATTGCTGGTGTTAGAGGTCACTTGTAGTGCTGCAGAGGGCACCAAAGTGCAGTCTCTGGTCACATAGCAGGGGAAGACCACCCATAGTGCTCTGACCCAATGGACTCAACTTCTGCCAAACTTTGGCTGTTGTCCTTGTTAACCATGGGATACCTGTCTGGGACTTGGTGCCACCTTTGAGCAAGTACTGCAGACTGACTCACTTTTGGAGAAGATCAGAAGCCTAACTTCCTGTCCTCCAGTGGAGGGAGCGAAACACAGCGTTTGCTGGGACAATGGAAAGATGTACAGGGTGAATCTGCCTACCATCATACCGTGAGGCAGAAATTATCAAAAGGCAACTCACTGTACTAAACAAACGTAGGGGTCACTTGTTAATGCTGGTGCATGAAATTCTCCTAGCAGAACACTTGGCATTCACTTGGGAACAAGATTCAAGTGATGCAGATTTGTTTTCTGAGCTAAAATGTTTACAGACCTAGTCAAATACTGTGGTTGGCAAGGCACTCCTCTACAACCTTTGCCTATAATTAATAAAATAGTACTAAAGGCTATTAGTTTTTTTACCTTAAAGTAGTATTAAACTCTCAAACTTTTCAATAATGAATCCAGATCAAACAGATATACATTACTCAACATTTTTGCCCAAACTTCTACAATCTTCATGTTTCTGAACAGCTGCTTCCAAGTCTCTCAGCTCAGCTTCACTGAACTTCCTGTCCAGTACAAGATCACAAGGGACAGAGCAGACTCCAGCAACTGTTCATCTACCAAATTCG